TGAGAGCAAGCGTTGTCTAGCTCCTGGCTGATGGTGAGCACTCCCAAAGTGTCTGCCACCATGAAGAGCATCGCTGGGATGGCACAGAGCACCGGCCTTGATGGAGGGAGACGAAGCAGGGGTGCAGCACGATGGGGGAGGGGAGGGGCTGCCTCAGCCAAGATGGCTGACAGAGCCCAGAGCCTTAGACCGCAGACCTGGCCAGGCCCACGTTCCTGCAACAGACTCAGGAGCAGAACATAGAGGGAAGCAGAGCTGGCCAGACATAATGCAACATAACGGAGGAGCCAGATTATTTATTTTAAAGTCGAAAGTGGCTTCCAGGAAGATGGCCTTTTCTTTGGGTGAATCTGGGAGTTGTGCATCAGCTTAAACTCATTATCTGCACATATGGCCTTCGTACTCTGGTTCAGGGTGGGAAACAAAGGGTGGAAGAGAAAGGGCGGGCAAATACGAGCTGATGAAATATCGTCCCTCAAGTGCCAGAAACCGGGATGTTTTCAGTGACGTCAAACTGGGCTTCCTGCCATGGGGACAGGGCTATCGTGAGAATATTCACAAGATTTTAATTCAGGAGTCCCTCAGTAAGGCAGAGAAAGGAAAACAAAACAAAAAAGCAATTTATTTTATGTACCCTTGTCTTTCATCCCCAAAGCGCACACGCGCGCGCGCACACACTCACACACACTATATGGTGCCCCAGAAGCTCACAGCTGGAAAGGATCAGCGTTGATCTCTCTCACTGCACAATGACAGTGATAATGAAGATAATGGCAATGATGATGGTGAATATCAGCTGAGCATTTACCAAGTGCCGGACAAGGTGCTAAGTGTTTTACGTGTTTCATCTCGTTGACTATTCCCCCAAATAGGATGAGGTATGATGAGTCCCATTTTATAGATCAGGAGACTGAGGTTGAATGATCTAGAGTCACACAGCTAATACATGGGAGAAAGCCAACATTCAAACCCAGGCAGCCTAACCACCAGGTAATGCTGCCTCTATAGAAACAGGGAAACTGAAGTTCACAGAGGGGCGGTGACTCACTTGAAGTCACATAGCTCTTTTTGTAATAGAATGAGGGCTAGTATACAAGTCTCCTAGGTCCTGATTCAGTGACCCTTCCATTCCATCCCGTTGTCTCTTAACATGTACACATGCACGTACACACACACGCGCGCGCGCACACACACACACACACACACACACATATACACACAGTGAACGTGTTTCTGCTCATCTCCAAGCTGTTTAAATCACTAATTAAAGCAGCCGTCTGGGGTGCAGACAAGGGGTAAGGGTTGGACCTTAAGATAACAAATGCTGAGATGAAAGACCTGCTTTGCCAGCTGCAAACGCTGGTGCTCATCATCTCACTCTCTCTTATTTTAATAAGTGTTTCATTATCTGCTCCCCCGCCCTTGATCAGAGCGCTGATGCAGGTCCAAGGTGCCAGCCTGTGCGGCAGGAGGAGCCCAAGCTGCCAGGTTTGTTCAATGGCATCAGGTTGCAGAAATACCCGCTCAACCCATCATCTGCTCCTGGCGAGGGGGGTGGGGGGGCGTGCAAAGTGCTTATTTCCAAGGCCCCTCCCTTTGCTGTGTCCCAGCCAAACATGAACAAATGTTCCTGATTTTCTTCTTAACAGCTGATGAAATAGGCCAGAAGAGCAGCCCTCTATAAAGAGGGGTCCTGAAAAGGGGTGGCCCAGCCACCAACATTTGCTCTTCCCAGGACTGGGGAGAGAGTGGGTGCTGGACAGGCATCTGGAGAAAGGCAACATGCGAACCAACAGACAGGTATGAGGCTCCCAGCGGGCACTCATGTCGCCCTCTCTGCCCCTAAAGTACAATCTGATGGAGGCCAGTAGCCTGGCTCACTTTGCTAAGCAGGTGTGGGGTAGGGCAGGGCAAGACAACCAGGAGAGATGCCCTTACACCTTAATAGGTTAGCCTTTCCTGACTTTAAGTTGCTAAGGCCCTCAGAGTCTTCTGGGCCAGCACCCTCATTTCACAGACAGGAAAGCAAGTTCAAGAATGGAAGTGACTCACCCAAGGCCACATTGATGACCCAGAAGAGTTATATTTCGAATCTGCTGTTTCCTCCCTTCCTAACCTCCTCCCACGAATCCCTGCCGTGAGCCTTTGCCTCGATACACCCTTGCACACCTGTCCCTGCACAGCGCCAACCTCCAACCCAGCCCTCAGACCATTACAACCTCCTTTAGCAACTCAGGAAGCTAGTCCCAACCGACATGCTATTTTTTATGGGGGAAGGTAATTTTTTTTTTTTTTTTTTTTTAAGCAAAGCAACCCTTGGTTGACCTCACAGATTGCAAGGACCTTGTCAGCTTATGATTCTTTATTTTTTATCTTTTATGCCTACAGCACCTGGTCTTCCTAGGTGGTCTCCCATCGAAGTACTGACCAGGCTCGACTCTGTTTAGCTTCTGAGATTGGACGGGATCGGGCTCATTCAGGGTGGCATGGCTATAGAGGGGAAGGTACTTTTTGGATCAACCTAAGGTGTTCTAACACCAACTCCAGATGAACTTCTGCTTCTAGAAAGTGCCCTGGAACTTTCACTGATGCACTGCCATTTCATCCTCGGGTTGGGTGAAGATACCCCGAGGGACAGCCATTTGAATGGATTTGGGGACAGGGGCAGCAAGGGTGCAGAGTGACCAAGACTTGAAATTCTGCTGACTCGGAGATCTTGGAGTTTGCCTAGGAACTCTTTGAATCCACACATGATATGCTAAGTCAACACACGGACGTCAGCAGCCCTGGAGTCTCAGTTCCCTCTTCTCTTCAGAGCATGTGGGGTGTGTGTGTGTGTGTGGGGGGGGGGTGTTGCAGAGAGAACGAGTGGAACACAGGAGCTGCCAGCCCTCTGGGCCTCGTGCTCACACCCAGGTTCCAAGGGCAGGGCTGTTCCGGGCAGGCTTCCCATCACAGAAAAACAAGAGTCACTAAAAACAAAACAAAACAAAACAAAAAAAACCCCTTTTGTTTTCTGGACCTATGGAATGTCTTGAAGACACATCCAGAGACAGCAGCTCCCCCACCCTTTCCTCTGTCTCCCCACGCCTGCTCTTCTACTCGAAATGAAAAGCATGCTGATCTCCTTTACAACAACTGTCCTCGAGCATGTTGGATGGCAGCTAACGAAAACATTAGGTGGGCTACATTAAAAGCAAGAACCTCAACTCTCTTTCAGGGTCCTCGTGGTTTCCATCACCTTTGCAGGGGACTCGGGGGACATGGGAGGGGGACTGCCCAATGAGCACACCGTTTCCAGCCAAGAGAAAGATGAAAACTTCCACCAGCCACTATGAAGCCACTGCACGGTCTTTGATTTGCTCATTTGTGCTCGCTTGGGGTGCAGGGAGAAGGGAGGGAATTAGAGAAAAACAAAATGAGGCAACAATCCCTTCAGTGTCCCTTCAGTGTCAAACAGCCCCATACATGACAAAGAAGATGCTCTTCACAGATGCCAGCAGCCGCCTTGCTTCCCAAGGCCTCAGCAGGACACAGACTCAACATACAGGGCCTCTGGGGTCAGACAACAGGACACATAGCAGGTTTCCACCAATAACTGTGAAATGACCAGATGAATGTGGCCTGTAGACCCCAGATTGGGGAAGCAGGGGTTCTTGTTGACTGCTAAGACATTTACCACTTGAGCCTAGGCTGCTCAAGTCTTTAAGGGGCCCCAATTGTCGCCACCTGGTGCCTCCGTTTATTTGTGCCCAGAGAGAGGACAGATAAGAGAGGATATGATACACTCAAGACCCTCATCCGGCCACAGCAGGAAAGGATCTGGCCAGATCCGGGGAACAAAGGTACAAATTTTACAGAAAGGGTGCATTCAGCGGTTTGGGATTCGGACTCCAAAGAAACCTCAAAAAATTAATTCTTCCATCCATTTTCTCCACACGAATTTGCTGTCAGTGTACAGTTCCTCTTGTTTTTATTTTTCGGGTGGTTAATTTTTTATTCATCCATAGACCCTGCCAGCCTCCCAAGAAAAACCACCTCCGGATAAGCCAAGCTTCCCAGCACACAGTGCAGTTGCAACTGAGGAACCCCGCCCTCGTACTCGACCCTCTGCCCGGGTCGGGCTGTGGGGCCGGGTGCTCGGCTGGGCGAGGCCCCGCGTGTGCTGGAGAGTCTGTGGCTGTCTATCCTGGATTTCCGCGCGTTTGTCTCGCAGGAGCCAGGACTCGCGTTCCTGTGGGTGAAAGGGCCAGGGAAGGGCGCCCCCTGGCGGGAGCCAACTCACCTCAAACCAGCCGGGTCCCAAGCTGGCGCGAACCCACCCGAGTCCGTCAGCCTTCCAAGCGGACGCCCACTACACCCCCTAAATCTGGACATGCCCAAGCTTCGCATCCACCGAGCGCTCCACGGATTCTCTGCTTTCGCGAACCGCACACGCAGGGTAGGGGGATCAGGGGGGTCCCCGGAGGAAAGCGTGGCGCTCCCACCCCGCCCCTCTGCCAGGGACCCCAAAGGCAGCCCGCCCTCAGTGCCCTGCTGGGCCCAGCAACCTCCCGGCCCAGATCTTCGCTCCTAATTCCTTCTGTCTACCTGCCCTAGAGTGGCGAAGCGCGCACCCCCTCCCTCAGGGCGCAGCCCTCGCCGAGACCCCGAACCTTGTAACCACACCTGCCACCCCCCGCCATTCTGCTGGAGCCCCCCCCAGCCACCCACCCAGAGCGCTCGGCGCCGGCTGGTGCTGCACCTGTCCAGGGGGAAGCCCTCAGGCCTTGGCGGTCTCGGGGCAGGGAGGGGAGCGAGCACGTCTTCCCTGCCCCCTCCCCATTTAGTTTCAGTAGAACTTGGTTCCAGGGCTTCCCCCGGACCGCCCTGGGATCCCCTCAATTCCACCCCTCCCCACCGTGCCCCACAGTCTCCCAGGGGGAGCGCGCGTGGGTCTCCATGTCCCCGGGGACGCGGCGGGGGGACGCACGGAGGGCACAGAGGTGCAGGGCTCCTACCTTCCGGAGGCAGCGGCGGGACCCCGCGCCAACTCCCGCCGGCGGACGCGAGGGAAACTTTCCCCGGGCGGAGAGGCGCGCTCGAAACTTGCGGGGCGCCGGCTGCCTTCCCGGGGGGGGCGGCG